TTGAGCCACAGGCGCTGAGCCTATGTTAAGTTTTTAGTACATTAACTGCTAGTAATAACCTATAAGTCATTAAACAGAAACAAGAAGACTCGAAGTATTGCAATGAACATCTTTCACATCAATTTTCCCCCAATTTTGAATCATTTCCTTGATAATCCCTTAAAGAAAAATGATAGTAAATGATAAAGTATGGTACATGTATATAAGAAAATATTAGACAGATATTAAAATGATTTTGACAAGGAATTTTAAACAAAATAGCACAAAAATGCAGTGGAAAAGCAAAATAGAGAACTATCTATAATAATAATTTGCCCATCTATCCATTTATCTAGAGAAGGCAAAGAAGGAAATTTACTTAAACCCTAACTATCTCTGAGTGGTGGATTATGGGTAGATTTAATTTCCTTCTTAATCTTTTTTTTTTTTTTTGTAGAGACAGAATCTCACTTTATCACCCTTGGTAGAGTGCCATGGCATCACAGCTCACAGCAACCTCCAGCTCTTGGGCTTAGGGGATTTTCTTGCCTCAGCCTCCTGAGGAGCTGAGACTACAGGCGCCCACCATAACATCTGGCTATTTTTTGTTGCAGTTTGGCTGGGGCTGGGTTTGAACCCACCACCCTCGGTACATGGGGCCAGTGCTCTACCCACTGAGCCACAGGCGTGCCCCTTAATCTTTTTTTTTTTTTTATGTTTTCCAAATTCCCTTTCTCCCTCCTTAATTATTTTTTATTTATTTTTTATTTTTCGAGACAGTTTCACTTTGTCACCCTCAGTACAGTACCGTGATATCACAGTTTACGGCAACCTTCAGCTCTTGGATTTAGGGGATTCTTTTGCCTCAGCCTCCCGAGAAGCTGGGACTACAGGTGCCCGCCATAACGCCTGGCTATTTTTTGTTGCAGTATGGCCGGGGCTGGGTTAGAATCCTCCACCCTCAGTATATGGGGTTGGCACCCTACCCGCTGAGCCACAGGCACCACCCCCCCTTATTTTTTATTTATATATATGCCTATGGGATACAAGCACAATTTTGCCATGTTGATACATTGCACTGGTGAATCTAGGGCCTTCAGTGCATACATCCCCAAAGCAGTGCACATTGCACCCCATATTCCAAATTTTGTATAAGCACTATATATTTTTACAATAAAATACTTTAAAAGCTGTGTTAAAGAAGAAAGGAATTTTATTTATTTATTTTTTTAGAGACAGAGCCTCACTTTGTTGCCCTAGGTAGTGCCATGGCGTCATAGCTCACAGCAGCACCAGCTCTTGGGCTTAGGCATCTCTTGCCTCAGCCTCCTGAGTAGCTGGGACTATAGGGGCCTGCCATAGTGCCCAGATATTTTTTGTTGCATTTTTGCCGGGGCCAGGTTTGAACCTGCCATCCTCAGTATATGGGGCCAGCGCCCTAGTCACTGAGCCACAGGTGCTGCCCAAAGAGGAGAATTTTTTATAAGTAAAAATGCAGGCAATGAAAATAACAATAAACACAAATACACTGTAAGATAGCACACATTGTTTTCACTAAGTCTCAAATTTAAATCCTAAAATAAACAAAGATTTAATGCCAGAGCTAAACAAAATTTCCTCATGTTGCTAGTCTTCTGTGTCCTGATTTACCTCACGGTTAATCAGATATTCCTCCTAACAGTAGAAACCTCTGCTTACAATTCTGTCCTGAGTCTGTCTTCTCCACTACATTCTCACTCACTTTTCTTTGTATGCTAATGACACTCCCCAATTTTTATCTCTATCTCTAGCCAGGTCTATCTCCTGCACAGCAGACTCATTTATTCAACTGCCTATTGTTTCTCATCTCCTGGTGGTTCTATAGGTACTCTGAAATGTTCAACACTGAATTCATCATCTTTTTCCTCAGCCCTGTTGCCCTTCCTTTATCTCAGTGAATAGTGTCACCATCCACCCATTTAGTTTCCTAAGCCAGAAACCCCATTCTTTTCCTCTCTCCATACTGAATCCTTCATCAGATCCCATTAATTATGCCTCCAAGGGAGGATGTGGTGGCTCCTCTAATCCTAGCACATTGGGATTCCAGGTAGAAGGTTCACTTGAGGCTCGTAGTTTGAGACCAGCCTCGGCAACATATTAAGACTCTTGTCTGTACCAAAAAATTAAAAAAATAATGACTGAATATGGTAGCATACATCTTTAGTTCCAGCTACTTCGGAGGCTGAGGGGAGCAGGACTGCTTTAACCTAGGACTTCAAGGCTGCAGTGAGCAATGATCGTGCCCCTGCACTCCAGCCTGGGAGACAGAGCAAGATTTCTCTTAAATCCCTCCCCTGCCCAAAAGGTCAGGTGTGGTAGCTCATGACTATAATCCTAGAAGTCTAGGAGGCTGAGGCAGCAGGATCCCTTGAGCTCAGGAGTTGGAGACTTGCATGAACAAGAGTGAGACCCCATCTCTACTAAAAATAGAAAAAAATTAGCTGGGTTGGTGGCATGTATCTGTAATCCTAGTTACTCAGGAGGCTGAAGCAAGAGGATCACCTGAGCCCAAGAGTTTGAGGTTGCTGTGAGGTATGATGCCACAACACTTTACCCAGGGTAAAAGAGCAAGACTGTCTCAAAAAAAAAAAAAAAAAAAAAAAAAGGGCCTTGTTTACCACAAAGGAAATGTATATTAGCATAAGCTGAGATAACAGCTTTGTGAGGTAGACAAAGCCAAGTACTAACTAAATCTCAAAGAAATTACAAGACTTCCCCAAAAGAATTTTAAGCCAGTGTTTTTTCCTAGTAGCCTGTAACTTAATGTGTTAACCATCTCTCATTAAATAACATTACAAATAACACTACAGACCAACCACAAGATGAACATGAACTTTGAACTGTTTATCTACTATCAATATTGCAGCCACTCAACCCAAAGTATCTCTCTTTTTGTTCATGTGACCACTGACATACATGTGTGAGAGTGGATAAGGGGGGTAGTTTGTTATAACAGGGCAAAGCAGAGGCTAACTGCCTTACAGAGTGCTTTTACTTTTGGGGCAGTCAATGCAATGGTCCTGACCTCAATAGGCTAGGATTTCCCAACCCTCCTTAATTTCAATGCAGACTTCAATGGAATACCAAGAAAATTTAGGAAAAAAAGAAAAGAAGTTAATTTCAATGAAGAAACAATTCAAACATAACAAGATTCTGTTATTAAGATTTTCTTGTTCTAGGAATTTTATTTTATTATTATTTTTTTTTCCTTAGAGACGGAGTCTCACTTTATTGCCCTTGGTACAGTGCCATAGCGTCACAGCTCACAGCACCCTCCAACTCCTGGGTTTAAGCAATGCTCTTGCCTCAGCCTCCTGAGTAGCTGGGACTACAGGCATCCGCCACAATTCTCAGCTATTTTTTTGTTGCAGTTTGGCTGGGGCCGGGTTTGAACCCACCACTCTCAGTATATGGGGCCGGTGCCCTACCCACTGAGCCACAGGCGCCGCCCCATGTTCTAGGAATTTTAAAGAAAAGTCATCCTTGTTCACTTATTTATTTTATTTGTTTTTGAAACAGAGTCTTTCTGTTACCCCAGGCTAGAATGTCATGGTATCAACCTATCTCACAGCAACCTCAAAGTCCTGGGTTCAAGTGATCCTTCTGCCTCAGATTCCTGAGTGGCGACCACCACAACACTTGGCTAATTTTTCTATTTTTACTAGAGATAGGGTCTTGGTCTTGCTCAGGCTGGTCTCCAACTCCTGATCTCAAGGGATCCTCTTGCCTTGGCCTCTCAGAGTGCTAGGATTACAGGTGTGAGCTACCACACCTGGCCAACCATGTCCACTTAATCTCAATTAAGTGCCCTGTCTGGTTTAGTTAGGCCCATTTAAAGATGCTGGAGAGAACATACTATTTATCTGCAAAACATCAAGACTCTTACTATAAATAGCTAATGTCAATCTCAAAATTCAGTACTTATTTTATAGTTCCTTCTTACATAAAATCTACTTTAGTGTAGATTTGGCAAATGTACCTTGAAATACCATTTTATTTTCCACAATGCTCTCTCATTGCTTTTGGTAATTTTGTCTTGAGAGGTCAGGTTTTTGGCATAAGACTGCGGTGGAGATGAGAACTGATGATGCAGCAGGTGGACAGCGAGTAAGGAGGTAGGACAGTCTTCCGTGGGTATCCCCCGGGGGTTAGCTCTGGGATCCCCACGGACACCAACATCCCTATGCTCAAGTCCCTTATGCAAAAGGTGACACAGTATTTACATGTAACCTACGTCCACCCTCCTATATCCTTCAAATCACCTCTAGATTACTTACAATGCCCAGTACAATGTAAATGCTATGTAAATAATTGCGGTACTTCTTTTTGGTACATAAAAGCTTTGTTAGAGACATAGGAGTTCCCATTCAAACTGTTAGTGAATTATATTGTAACTTGGTAACCAAAAATCTAAGAACATACCTGATAGTTGTTACCTTTCCAGAACTTTCTCATTTCCTTACGTCTCCAAGCAACAACTGAGGCAGTAATAAGTGTGCAAGGTACTAAATAGAGGAGTGCAGGCTGCCCCTGCTTCATCAGCACCAGAACAACAAATGTAAGTATCATGCCAACGGCATACGCTGTAAGAAGAACACCAACGTATTACTCATTTCTATATGTTACCAAAGATAGGGTTTTCATCCCCTCATTGAAGTACTGATTTTCAAATATTTCTTTTCTTCCCTCTTTCTTTTTTTGAGAAAGAGTCTCATGCTGTTGCCCTTGGTAGAGTGCCGTGGTATCATAGCTCACAGCAACCTCAAACTCCTGGGCTCAAATGATCCTCTTGACTCAGCCTCCTGAGTAGCTGGGACTACAGGTGCCCACCACGATGCCCAGCTTGTTTTTCTATTTTTAGTAGAGAGGGGTCTTGTTCTTGCTTAGGCTGGTCTCAAACTCCTGAACTCAAGTGATCCACCTGCCTTGGCCTTCCAGAATGCTGGGATTACAGGTGTGAGCCACCAAATCTGGCTGATTTTCAAATATTTCTTAGAACATTTTTGTACTATGAATTCTTATTATAATTTCATTATTCTCTTAGACAGTAATTTGGAGAGATATTCTATAGAGGTTTTTAAAAATTTTGGAAACTTGGGCCAGTTGCAGTGGCTCAAACCTATAGCCCTAGCACTCTGGGAGGCCAAGATGGGCGGACTGCTTGAGCCCAGGAGTTCAAGACCAGCTTGAACAAGAGCAAAACCCCTTTCTACTAAAAACAGAAAAACTAGCTAGATGTTATGGCAGCCACCTGTAGTCCCAGCTTCTCAGGAGTCTGAGGCAAGAGGATCATTGGAGCACAAGAGTTTGAGGTTGCTGTGAGCTATGACACCACAGCACTCTATTGAGGGGGGCAAAGTGAGACTCCGTTTCAAAAAAAAAAAAAAGAAAAAGGAAACAGGTTAGTATTTCAATTATTACTAACTTAACAAACATTGATATAGATAATTCAAGAAAGTCTCGCATGGGTTGGCGCCTGTATCTCAGTGGTTAGGGTACCAGCCACATATACGGAGGCTGGCAGGTTGGAACCCAGCCCGGGCCTGCTAAACAACAAAGGCAACTGCAACAACGACAACAAAAAAGGCTGGGCATTGTGGCAGGTGCCTGTAGTCCCAACTACTTGAGAGGTGGAGGCAAGAGAATTGCTTAAGCCCAAGAGTTTGAAGTTGCTGTGAGCTGTGATACCACGGCACTTTACCAAGGATGACATATGAGACTCTGTCTCAGAAAAGAAAAAAGAAAGTCTCACGTATCTGTCACTATTAAGGATGCTGTTTCATGATTCCACATTTTAGATAACTAAACATGCACTCACAGGCATTAAAGGTTGCTTTGAAAAATTTTTCTATTATTGATTACATAATTTCCTAATCTTCTTTAGTAAGCTCCTACCAAACATTATTTGAACTTTTTTTTTTTTTGAGACAGAGTCTTACTATGTCATCCTTGGTAGAGTGCCATAGTGTCACAGCTCACAGCAACCTCAAACTCTAAGGCTTAAGCGATTTTCTTGCCTCAGGCCTCCCAAGTAGCTGGGACTACAGGTGCCTGCTACAATGCCCAGCTATTATTTGTTGCAGTTGTCGTTATTTAGCAGGCCCAGGCCGGGTTTGAACCTGCCAGCCCCAATGTATGTGGCTGGCGCCCTAATCACTGAGATATAGGCACCAAGCCTATTTGAACTTTTCCTTTCTTTTTCCTGAATTAAAGTTTTTCTTTTTTTTATTTTTGTTTTATTAAATCATAGCTGTGTACATTAATACTATCATGGGGTACAGTGTGCTGTTTCTATATACAATTTGAAATACTTTCATCCAACTGGTTAACATAGCCTTCATGTCATTTTCTTAGTTATTGTGTTAAGACATTCATATTCTACATTTAGAGAGATTCACACATACCCTTGAACTTTTCTTAATGACCTTTCTTTCATCATGTACAGAGGAGTTCAGAATACTGGAGCTTTACTGACAATTTAATCTAGCTCCTCATTTTAAAGATGAGGCATAAGGACCAGGGAGTTTACGTGAGTTGCCCACATTTACACAGTAAAATTAATGACTATTCCTATAATCTGCCTCTTTTACTCTAACACACTGAGTGGTACTGAACTCTAACACAGTAATCCCCTCAGACAGCATACATTTAGTGGCCTCAAACTGCTTTTCTGTTTCTTTATAGTTTTTTTTCATCCTCTCCCTCACTTAGCTATTTTCTTGCTGTCAAGGTACATGTTTCTAACATCTTTGTCTACTATTAATATATACTTTTAGTTTACTGAATTTAATTCCACCACGGACTTGAAATCTTGCTAGAATAATATCTAAATGGCTTGGGGAGAGGTTATTTATCTAAATATAAAAAGCTTTGGTATATGGACTTTGAGATATCTATTTGATATGTTTCAATGTACCAGGGTATTTTTTTTTTGTCTCATTTACTGTTTTTTTTTTTTTTTAACTCTGTTCTCAATAATAGAAAGACAGAAACAAGTGATGACAACCTCTGCTATTTCAGGTGAGAGGTTATTGTGCCATAAATTTATTTAAATAAATATATAATAACCCATATACTATTTAAAAAAAAATCTCATAATACGGCATTTATTGACTACTTACGTGCCAGGTGTTCTAATAAGCATTTATATATACAATCTTATCTTTTTTATATCAAATTTCCTTTATTTATCTTTTTTTTTTTTTTGAGGCAGAGTCTTACTCTGTCATCTTGGGCTAGAGTGCTGTGGCATCAGCCTATTTTACAGTAATCTCAACTCCTGGGTTCAAGCGATTCTCCTGCCTCAGCCTCCCAAGCAGCTGGGACTATAGATACCTGCCAAAATGCCTGGCTAGTTTTTCTTTCTTTTTTTTTTTTTTTTTTTGAGACAAAGTCTCACTTTGTCACCCTTGGTAGAGTGCCGTAGCATCACAGCTCACGGCGACCTCAAACTCTCGGGCTTAAGTGATTCTCTTGCCTCAGCCTCCCAAGTAGCTAGGACTACAGTGCCCACCACAATGCCCAGCTATTTTTAGAGATGGGGGGCTTGCTCTGGCTCAGCTGGTCTCGAACTTGTGAGCTCAGGCAATCCACCTGCCTTGACTTCCCACAGTACTAGGATTACAGGTGTGAGCCATGGCGCCTGCCCTTAGTTTTTCTATTTTTAGTAGAGACAGGGTCTTGCTCTTGCTCAGGCTGGTCTCAGGTGGTCTTTAACTCTTGAGCTCAAGCTATCCTCTGGCCTTGACCTCTCAAAGGGCTAAGACTATAGGCATGACCCATGGGGCTGGCTTGAATTTTCTTTTTAAACCTCCAGAATTTTGTGACATAAATAGTAAAGTATGACTATCTTTTTTTTTTAGAGACAGAGTCTCATTTTGTTGCTCTTGGTAGAGTGCCATGGCATCACAGCTCAAAGCAACCTCGAGCTCTTGGGCTTAGGTGATTCTCTTGCCTCAGCCTTCAAAGTAGCTGGGACTAAAGGGGCCTGCCACAACACCTGGCTATTTTTTTGTTGCAGTTTGACCGGGGCTGGGTTTGAAGGCGCCACCCTCAGTATATGGGGCTGTCACCTACTCACTGCTGCCCGACTATCCCTTTTTGATGGAAGAATTTATCAACAACAAAGAATAAAAATTCCAAACGCATTATTTTTAGACCTCTGCCTTTTCCTCCAGATAATAGAATTCAACATAAAAGAAAAAACACCCAAATTTACCAATTGTGGAGGAAATGTAGTACACAGAAGAAGAGCCAGTCAGAACATCAAATCTTCTACAGTATGCAATCAATAGGCCTAAACAAAAAACCAAAAGTCTACATTATTTTCTTAAAACAACAACAACACAAATTCAATTGTTAACTATGGTGACAGTATACGCTATATTGTATTTAATTTTCTTTTTTTCTTTTTTTCTTTTTTGGAGACAGTGTCTCACTTTGTTGTCCTGAGTAGAGTGCTATGGTGTCATAGCTCACAGCAACCTCAAACTCTTAGGCTCAAGTGATCTTCTTGCCTCAGTCTCTCTAGTAGCTGGGAACTATAGGCACCTACTACAATGTCTGGCTACTTTTAGACTCAGGGTCTCCCTCTTGCTCAGGCTGGTCTCGAATTCCTGAACTCAAGCAATTTATTTTATTTTATTTTATTTTTTGAGACAGAGCCTCAAGCTGTTGCCCTGGGTAGAGTGCCATGGCATCACAGCTCATAGTAACCTCCAACTCCTGGGCTGAGCTTAAGTGATTCTCTTGCTTCAGCCTCCCAAGTAACTGGGACTACAAGCACCTGCCACAACGCCTGGCTATTTTTTGGTGGTAGTTGTCATTGTTGTTTGGCAAGCCTGGGCTGGATTTGAACCTATCAGCTCTGGTGTATGTGGCTGGTGTCTTAGCTGCTTGAGCTACAGGAGCTGAGCCTTATATTTAACTTTAAACTAATATTTTAAAATAGACATAATAGAAAGTCTATGTTTGGCATTATTATACTCAACTTCCAAGGAGTCACAAAATGATACTTTTTGGGGGGAAAAATGTTAAACTGATTCTAGCTGCTTCATCTAAGATACTCTTTGAGCCCTGGGAAATATTACAGTACTTTGGTTGTTACCATTTGAGCTTTACCTTATATCCCTCAATATGTGTTTTTCTATCTTTATCACTAATCGTAGCTCTGGCAACAGCCAGAAATAATTAATATAGACTAGGAAACTTTTAATAGACATACGACAATTTTAAACCATCAGTATGTTTTTCACTAAAATTGTTACAACTGTTTACCTGGTACAATAATGTCTCCAAAACCCAATATTGAAACAGGCATGAGGCACACACTCATTACTGAGAAACAGATCAGCTTTGGCACTCTGATGACAACTGGCAACTGTTAAAAAAAAAAAAAAAAAGCTACCAATAAAACTCTTAGCAATTTTTACCCATATCTTTTAGAAAGAGAATGATTGATATTAGAATAATTGTTTTAACACTTCAAAATTGACATTTTAAAAGGACTTGAAATTAGAGAACACAAACTAGGCATTCATACATGTACATACTCTGAAGGTATAGAAAGCTTGAAAGAAATAGATATGCAGTTTGGAGAATGAAACCCAACACACATGTAGGATTAACAGTATTAGCCTACTATCTCCACATTTAATCGTTTTCTTTTTTTTCTCTTTTTAAGACTCAGGCCTTGAAACCAATTTTTTTTTTTTTTTTCCAATCGGAATTCTTGCCCAAAGAAGAATCTTGACTCAGAGGATATGATTTAAAGTCCAATGAACATATCTGAAATACAATCCTTACTTTCTCATGGGGAGCTGAGGGCTGAGCAGTGGCTTCCACCAAGTTTCCACCATTCTAGGATGAAACCCAAGTCAATAGGTATTTAATAATTTAGAATAACTAAGAAAAGGGGTATATTTTGTGAGAAATAAGTTTTACAATACCTTAACATGCACTACATGACCAATTACACAAGAAGACAAAATGATTCACTGGATACACATATATACACTGGGGACCTATTCCCATGCAATTGCCATCCCTACCTTTTCGGTATTTCCAAAAGGTCCAGCTGCAAGTTCAACCATGATACTCTCACCATTCTAAAATTAAGGAAGAAAATAAAAGAAGTTGTCCTATCGTTTAAGGAGAATAATTTGCTATTATTGAAGAATGATTTAAGTAATCCCCATGGTACATTGCTTACTGTAAACTTAGGGCAGATGGGCTTTAGCTGCCTTTTTTCCTAAAATAGTCTCTGTATATGCAAAAATTGAAGTCATTTAAAACAAAAACCCACCTAGCACACTGTTCTACTTTATCAGAGCTCAACAATTACCAGAAACTGACAAATGAACCATACAGAGATGATTCATGTGAACCCTGAACTCTGATACATACTGACATATTCATATCTAACATTTGTAATGGATTATAAATTTTAATTAGTTGAATTATGTCATATGTGAGGTCTGACAATTAAGTTGGTGAACCTGCCACTGTACACTTATGTTGACAGTACTGTACAAATAACTTGATAAGGTTTCATAACCTTGGGATATCAGTGTCTCACAGCTGTGTTCATGTTGATGTGTGCCAGTGCCTTGCTGAGTCGTGTTCAGTATTGTTGTTGTGTGAATGGGGGAGCTTGAATTAGAGCAACAAACAATCATTAAATTTCTTGTTAAATTTGGCAAGAGTGGAAGTGAAATCAGGGATGTGTTAGTTCAAGTTTACGGGGATAATGCCATGAAGATGATGGCAGTGTACAAATGGATTAAACATTTTTCTAAGAGGAGAGAAAGGGTCACTGATGAAGAGAGATCTGGGCAGCCAATTACAAATAGAACTGGTGAAAACATTGCAGAAATTCATCGAGTTGTGTGTCAAAATCAGCAGCTGATTGTGAAAAGCATGGTAGTCTAAGTAAACATCAATAGAGAAATAGGAAAACCTTAACTGAAAATCTTGGCATGAGAAAGATGGGTTCTTGCAGCAGGACAAGGCCCCAGCTCACACAGCATGTCTCTGAGGGAGTTTCAGCCAGTAAACAAATAACTGTGTTGGAACACCATCCCTACTCTTCTGATCTGGCTCCCCATGACTTTTTTCTTTACCCAAACATAATGGAAATATGAAAGGAAGACATTTTGGTGATTTTCAGGACATCAAGGGTAATATGACAACAGCTTTGACGGCCATTCCAGAAGAAAAAGTTCCAAAATTGCTCTGAAGGATGGACTAGGAGCTGGCATAGCTTCTCAAAGGGAATACTTCAAAGGTGACTGTAGTGATACTCAGCAATGAGGTATGTGACACTTTTCCTTGGAAAAGTTGTCGAACCTAATTATTAGCCTCTGTACTATGGTTCTTAGTCATTTTCAGCAATTTCAACGAAGATAGACAAACTAAAATCCTTTATACATAGCTTTGCAACAAATATTGGTAACATAATTTGAATAAATATATATCTGACCTTCTGGTTACTCACCACAGTAACAAAACAATGAAACCAAACTTGAGAAAAACCAACCCTATAGAACCCTGATTCTCTAACCTGATTCCGCTCTGATTTCAGTCCTGCCAGCTTTTAATGTTCCAATCAAAACATCAACCTTAGCTAAATTTCCGTTCCTTGTGTCTGGATAAAGTCTTTTTATGGGGGCTGTGTGAGTTTACAAAAAGGTTTTCTCCTGATAGCCAAGTCTGTTGTGGAGAAGAAAAATGTTTAGCGCTAGCAAGTGAAGATTGCATTAAATATCCATTTTATGTTTCATACTGTGATAAACATATAAGCAAAATAGGTAAGAAGAAGATAAACAAATGTTGAATGTTAGGAACATTTGATACACTAACTAAAATATTTTCCATGTGGGTGGAGCTCACAGGAGAAAAATTACTTGAGTGTTTTTTTGTTTTTTTGTTTTTTTTTTTTGAGACAGAGCCTCAAGCTGTCCCCCTGGGCAGAGTGCCGTGGCATTACAGCTCACAGCAACCTCCAACTCCTGGGCTCAAGCGAGTCTCTTGCCTCCACCTCCCAAGTAGCTGGGACCACAGGCGCCCGCCACAACGCCCGGCTATTTTTTGGTTGCAGCCGTCATTGTTGTTTGGCGGGTCCGGGCTGGGGATTCGAACCCGCCACCTTAGGTGTACGTGGCTGGCGCCTTAGCCGGTTGAGCTATAGGCGCCGAGTCTACTTGAGTGTTTTTGAAAGGACCTCACTGATACTGGAGCTGAGTAAAGAAGGATAAAATCTCCAGCTACAGAACTCTTTTTCTCATGTTAAGCTTTGAGTTTCAGAGGGGTTAATCACAGGAGTTTACGAAAATAAACTAATAAAAAATACTGTTCCTTAAAGTAAAGTAAATTCCCAGGTTGTGATCAAATTTCCAGATAGAGTTCGTTTTGGTTTGTTTTTCAATTGTTATTTAAAACACTTAACTGAAGGTCATTACTGACATCCTCCCATACATTCAAAGATACCTGAGTAACTACTATTTGCAAGATACACTACTACATATAATGGTAAATGGAAAAAATGGGTAAGACAGGTTCTTATTGCTGTAGGAGTAATACACTACGAGCCCTGCCAACTCACTAGAAGGCCACTAATACCTGGGGTGAGAACATGTTTAGGATTCCAACGTTTAATCCTTCTACAACTCTACAACAATGAATTCCAAAGAGAACATCAGCTTTTTCCACTGTATTGTTAGAAACCATATTCCTAGTTAGTAGGAACTAAGAAAAAAGACAAAAAAATTCCTAAGCATATGATAAAGAAAGGAAACTAAAAGACATCTTTATTATGTGTATTATCCTTTACCTTTGAAATTCTAAAAACGTTTCACATGCAGGGAACAGAGATCATTTTCTGGCAAGTATGTTTGATATTCATAGTGATAATAGTGTTAGAATGGAAAAATTAGTTTTAAAAAGAATTTAGTTACAGTTTATAGCTACATCTGTTGTGTGATCTGCATTATTTACTGATTTATGGGCAAGGCTTTGTAGAGAGAATACTTGACTTTCACTGATGGGGTACCTTATAAAAAACATATTTTTGAATTGAGTAAATGGATACAAGCTAGGACAGCTTTGGGAAGAAATACAAAATTCTTCAATAAATCAATGAGTTTAGTTATAACTTTTAATACTAAATCTATGCCTTATTAGAATACTATTGTTCAATGAAGTCAATGAGTCAAATGGCTTATCATTAATTCATGGACAGGTGCTAGTAAAAGCCAGGGTAGCTGTAATTGAGGCAGTTCACTGTATTTGCTATCTAGTTGCAATTTTAGCTCTCCGCAGTAGGGCATATGTTTGTACTTAGGCCATTATAGCAGATATAAGAAGTGCAGATTGTTACAGTGATTTCCTAGGTAGTAAAGTACAAAGAAAGCATAAAAGAATGAATGGGAAAAGTAGCGAATACCAAATACTAAATGTGAATGTGACAAAGGATAAAGGGATGATATGAAGTAACAAATAAAGAATCAAAGTAGAGGAAAGAAGGAGAATTAAGCAACAGTTAATACATTCATGAGACAGGAAAAGGGTCAAGTAGAAAAACTGGGCAAATAATGGAACTACCATACTCATCCAATACCCCTCCTCATTTTATTGTGGAGCGCAGTAGGGTACATATGACCAACAGTTGCCAGATGCTATGACTCTAACCTCATGGAAAAAGCCAGTCTGAGAGAATAAACAAATGGACAGAAGGAGAAAGGGAAGCATGTGGGTGGGTCTAAGCCCTTGGGTCTGGTTTCTCCTGAGGTTCACTCCACCCAAGACTCTACATGCTGCCTCATACAAGGGACCTTTTTGGTACAGAAGGCTTAGGTTGGGTTCTGTCAGTTGCAACCAAAAGAATTTTACTGTTGGGGTTGGGAGGATGAAAAGCTAGCAATACTTTCTCACACAATGGATTAAGTAACTGAAGCAGAAAGGCTTCAGTGACTAGCCAGGGTTGTAAAGTGAAAGAGCTCTACTCTGGGCCTTCAGACATCCAGTGTTGTTTTCTTTCTTAGTCTCAAACTAGGGTTTCAGAAATGAAAGTAGAAATGATACTTTTTCTTTTTCTGCTTATAGAAAACATTTACTATCTCATACTAATAAGAAAAATCATTTTAAAAAGGGAAGAAAAATTATATTTTCATATTTATATCAGTCAGTAGATTTTTTTGTATCTAATGAAATGGATTAAAGGCTTAGAAATACCCCTCTATTAAAAGCCAATTTCAGTGCTCTTGAAATTAATAATCTAATAACAGGTTTAAGATTTTCATTTTTTAGCATGTTTCTTCATAGATTTCAATAATATGGTCATACCTTGGTGATGAATGGTGTTATGAAAACAAAAAATACATCATAGAAGAGGAGAAGGCCTAGAAGTATCACACATGACTGTTGAAGAAACAAATGTAAAGGTCAATTATCATACCATATCTAAATTAAGAGATTAAATTATTTCATAAATATAAAAAAAGAATATGTTTGAATACTATTTTTATAAAGGTATTTTATAGTTATTGCTATGTATTGTTTTATTTTACAAAACACTTTAAAACCCTTATCTTGGCTGGGCACAGTGGCTCATGCCTATAATCTCGGTGGTTTAGGAGGCTGAGGCAGGAGGCCAGGAGCTTAAGACCAGCTTGGGGAATATACACATCTCTACAAAAAAACAGAAAAATTACCCAGGCATGGTATCATGTGTTTGTACTCCCAGCTACTCATGAGGCTGAGGCAGGAGGATGGTTTGAGCCCAGGAATTTGAGGCTGTAGTAAACTATGATCAGGTCATTGTACTCCAGCCTGGGCAATAGAATGAGACCCTGTCTCTAAAAAACAACCAAACTAACTCTTCATCTCATTTTTAAAAAAATGACTGAATCAAAGAAATGTTCATCTCTCATTATTTAGTCTTACAAGGATTTATTATTCATTCTTATAAAGATTTTATGCATTTGGTATATTATATTAAGGATAAAAAATATTTTAGCTAGCAAACCAATGGTTGCCTCGGCCTAGGGGTTATGACTGATGGCAAAGGCCAAGATAACAACTTTTTGAAGAGATGAAAAATGTTCTATTACTTCACTGGGATGGTGGTTACAAAATTATACATTTGCAAAATTTCAACAAACAGTGCACTAAAAATAGGTGCTTTTAATTATAGGTAAATTTATACCTTAATAAAGTTATTTTTTTAAAAAGACAGTATACTTTACCTTGAAGTTGGGTAGCTTTAGTGTTTTAATTAAATTCAGACAGAAAGCAATTCCCAAGATATCCTGTAAAATCCAAGCCCACCTAAAATCAAGATATTATTTATTGCATTATCTAGTTATTTTTAGATGAAACTTTTCAAAATAAATAGACCACTAAGTAATACCATTCAATTACCATTATTTGACTATACAGCTTTAACATAAAGGGAACTAGAACTATGCAACTTACTATATGAGAAATTAACATGCATAACTACCAACTGATTATCACACCTGAAGCTGCCTGAAGTTGCATGAACTTTGTTTCTCAAATTTTAGGCCATTAAATCCTTTTGGTTTTCAATACTTTTATTAATAAAGCATTAAAAAAAACCTAAGTATATATTTTTTTCTGGTTATCCTTCTGGCAAATGGACAAATATCTGTATATTTTCTTATATCTCTCCTTCTTTCTTATATGACAGGTAGCATACTCTATATATATTTTTGTACTTTTTTCACTTAAAAATATATTCTGGAAATCACTGCATATTAATTCATAGAGCTTGTCTTCCTTTTTTAGTGTTGTATTGCATTCCATTGTGTGGCTATCTACACATATACAATTAGGTATTTTTTAAAAGTCTATTTCAGTCCAGATGTCTAAATCAAAATTCATATTTCCTTCTCTGTATGAGCACAAATCCATTAACATAAGATCTGCTTATTTAAAAAGTAGTTTGTTTCATGACTGGTGTTCTAAGATAAAAGCAAAAAAAATACCATAATGATCATAATGGATAAATATCAGGATAAGATATAAAAAAAATCTAGCCTTAATCTAAAAGCAAACATATTGAAGAGTCATACCTATCTTCGTTTCGAAATACAGCCCAAACAACAGCTACTGCGATACACAGTCCAGAGAGAAAAATAAGTCTCACTTCAATGCTTTTTCCACGAAACACAATCCTAAAAAAGAGATTGAAATACTTAGGTTTACATTATGAATGAAATACAATGATCACTTTTTGTTTGTTTGTTTGAGACAGAGCCTCAAGCTGTCACCCTGGGTAAAGTGACGCGGCATCACAGCTCACAGCAACCTCCAACTCCTAGGCTCAAGTGAGTCTCCTGTCTCTGCCTCCCAAGTAGCTGGGACTACGGGCACCTGCCACAACGCCGGGCTATTTTTTAGTTGCAGCTGTCACTGTTGTTTGGCAGGCCAGGGCTGGATTTGGACTGCCACTTTAGGTGTATGTGGCTGGCGCCTTAGCCACTTGAGCCACAGGCGCTGAGCCTTTTTTTTTTTTTTTTTAGAGACAGAGTTTCACTTTATCACCCTCGGTAGAGTGCCATGACGTCACAGCTCACAGCAACCTCCAACTCCTGGGCTTAGGCGATTCTCTTGCCTCAGCCTCCCAAGTAGCTGGGACTACAGGCGCCTGCCACAAGGCCCTGCTATTTTGTTGTTGTTGTTGTTGCAGTTTGGCTGGGACCAGGTTCCAACCTGCCACCCTCAGTATACGAGACCAGTGCCCTACCCAGTGAGCCACAGGTGCCACCCCACTTTTCTTTTTTTGAAACAGAGTTGCCCCTGGTAGAGGGCATCACAGCTTACACCAACCTCAAACTCTTGGGCTCAAGCAATTCTCTTGCCTCAGCTGCCCAATTAGCTGAGACTACAGGCACCCGCCACAATGCCCATTTTTAGAGACAGGATCTCACTCTTACTCAGGCTAGTCTCAAACCCATGAGCTTAAGCACTCTACCTGCCTCGGCCTCCCAGAGTGCTAGGATTACAAGAGTGAGCCACCAAGCCAGGCCTACAATGTTCACTTGATTCAAGAACTGGTAAATGCTAACTACCGTCATAAGAAGTTACTGAAATACCAATTTAAAAGTCTTGATTTTAAGTAAAACGAATGAGACAATAAAATGCTTATCAGTTTATCAGCTTATGAAAGGTACTTTTTTTTTTTTTTGAGGCAGAGTCTTACTATGTCACCCTTAGCAGAGTCCTATGGAGTCATGGCTCCAAGCAACCTATCTTGGGCTCAAGCGATTCTCCTGCCTCAGCCTCCCAAGTAGCTGTAACTACAGGCGCCCACCACAATGCCCAGCTATTTTTAGAGATGAGGTCTCACACTGGCTCAGGCTGGTCTCAAACCTGTGAGCTCAGGCAATTCGCCTGCCTCGGCCTCCCAGAGTGCTAGAATTACAGGTGTAACCCACTGCACCTGACCCAAAAGGTACCCCATCTGTGCTTCCAATATAGTAGCTATTACAAACTGATGGGAATGAGAAACTAAATTTTTAATTTTAACTTTAGTTAATTTAAACAACCATAAGTCTAATGTATACCAAACTGCACAGATTTAAAATAATACTTCTAGAGGGACTTTATCTAATAAATGCAATCAGTTCAACCTAATTCTTTGTACCCTCAGTGAATCCCAAACAATAAAAAAAAAAAATAAAATATTACTTCTAGTTTTCCTTGTTTTTTTAAATTGTATCAACATTATAAAAGCCCCCATAAGAGATACATACGTGCATCGTCCCCATGGTATCTTATGAATTAGTGCAGCAAGACAGTTGTACAGACTCATTGCTGATGCTATGCAGAAAATTCCTATCATAACATAAACTAGAAAAAAACAAGACACTAAATTAAATGAGAACAGAAGGAAATGTGATAAGGAAATATTTAGACAAGCAATATTAATTCTTTGGCTTTTTCTTTGTTTGGATTATGATAGTCTGAATGCAGTGATTACAGTATTACCTGAATCAGAAACTAAACTTCAAATATTTAGATCTTGAGGGTTAAAGAGGGGCTGCTTTTGTGTTGTTTTAGTCTCACTATATATTGATAAGATTGTCTAAGGGGCTGAAGCTGGCTCTATATTTTCTATCATTCGATGATTCCAAGCTGACATGTTTGTTAAAAATTTCTATGACGTGAGTTACAGATATTTATGAATATTTCATTTAAATGTAAGGAATGGAAGAATAAAAAACACTAACAATTACTTTTAAAAATGTAACCTGAGGATGAGAATTAACAATTAACTTAGACATTGACTACACTAACAATATTTTCCTATGGATAATTTATCTATAACAACTTGACTAGATAAAACCAAATCTGGCTGGGCATAGTGGCTCACACTTGTAATCCTAGCACTTTGGGAGGCCAAGGTGGGAGGATCACTTGAGTTCACTCTGTCTTTACAGAAAATAGAAAATTAGCTGAGTGTGATAGTGTGTACCTACAGTTCCAACTACTAGGCTGAGGCAGGAGGACAACTTTTGCCCAGGAGTTTGAGGCTACACCACTGCACTCCAGCCTGGGTAATAGAGATAAACTCTGTCTCAAAAAAAAAAAAAAAAAAAAATTAAGCCCCTAGCACAGTGGTTACGGCACCAGCCACGTACACTGAGGGTGGCAGGTTTGATCCTGGCCCAGGTCAGCTAAACAATAATGACAACTGCAACAAAAAAATAGCTGGGCATTGTGGCAGGCACCTGTAGTCCCAGCTACTTGGTAGGCTG